TGCTGCCGCCGCTGGCCAGCGGCGCCGCCGGCGCGGACGCGGCGGCCGCGCTGCGCGCACGGTGCGAGCAGCTCGGCGGCCGCGCCGCGGCGCTCGAGGCGCAGCTGGCGCAGGCGCAGGAGGCGGCGCGGCGCGCGCAGGAGGAGGCCGCCGCGGACAGGCGGCGACTGCAGGAGGCGCAAGCGGCGGCCGCGGCGGCGGAAGGCCGAGGCGGCGAGCCCGAGGCGCTGCGGCGGGAGCGGGACGCGTTGGCGGCGGAGGCTGAGGAGCGCGCGTCGGAGCTGCAGCAGTGGGTGGTGCACGCGCAGGTGGGTGGCGCTGCCTGTGGCGGGGCTTAGCACCGCAGAGCCCCTGAAGCCGTCCGTCGGGCCCCCCTCTATCCGCGTCCTCGACCCTCCAGTGGCAGCAGCTCTTAAGCTGGGCCAGATCACGCCACCCCATATGGCAAAGAAGCCGCGACCACGCGGGCCGACGTTTAACTCCACCTGAAAGCCATCCATCCCGGCACCATCCGTCCCGGCACTACACCTGACTCGTCACTGCACCTGACTCGTCACTGCACCTGACTCACAGGCCCTGGAGGAGGACCTGGCGCAGCTGCGTTCCGAGGCCGCCTCCGAGGCAGAGCTGCGCGCCGCCGCCGCCGCCTCCGACGCCGCGCGGCGCGACGCCGAGGCGGAGGCGCGGGAGGCGGGCGCGCTGCTGGCGGCGCGCGAGGGGGAGCTGGCGGCAGCGCGGTCGGAGGTGGCGGGGGCGCGGGACACGATTGCCTACCTGCAGGACGCCATCGGCTGTGAGTCACCCCCCTAGGCGCACACCCGGGGCGACTGCGTTGTCAGCACTGCTGGTCACCCCTGGCGGCGTAATGCGCCACGCGTGCGTGTTCATGTGAAGGTTTATCAAACACCTGCGCTTGCGCACACACATACACACACACATACACACACACACACTTGGACACACATACATATACGTGCACCACGCACGCACGCGCACCCACACACACATGTACACATATGTGCACCACACACGCAATCCTCATCCCCGCCCGCCCTGCAGCCAACGCCCAGGACTACCAGGCGCTACTGGCCAGGCACCAGCAGGCAGAGGCCGGCCTTGCCCGCGCGAGGGAGGCGGCCGCGGACATGCGGGCGCGGCTCGAGGCGGTCACCGGGCCGCAGGGGCCTCAGGCGCGCCTGCGGCAGGCGGAGGGGCAGCTGGCGCAGGTGCGCGGCGCAGGGGCGGCGACGCGGCAGGCGGGGCAGAGGCTGGAACTGCCGGAGTCTCATTGCTCACCAAAGGTGTCTCGCTGCGCTTGGTCCCACAATGATCCCTCCTTCACATCAACCCTCCCCAAGCCCCAGCCATAGACAGCCTGCACGCCGCTAGCGTGCACCTGTCCGTCACACCAGGCAACCAACCCTTCCCCCTCCCCACCTTCCCCCTGCACCCCCCGCCCCGCAGCTGCAGCGCAAGCTGGAGGCCGCCGACGCCGGCGCCCGCGAGGCGCGGCTGCAGCGCGACGCGGCGGCCGCGGGGCTCGCGGCGAGGGAGGGCGAGGTGATCAGTCTGGAGGGCCAGCTGGCGGTCGTCGGCGACGAGCTGGCGACCACGCGCGCCGAGCTGCTCGCGCTGCAGCAGCGCACCGCGCCGCGCACGCCGCACCCGAGCTACAGCGGCGGGGGGCTCGGCAGCAGCGGCGGGCAGGCGTGGCAGTGGCAGCAGGGCGATGCGATGGGGTGAGATGGAGCTGCGGCAAGCGAGGGCCGCGTGCCAAGTACATCACAGACTCTGTCTCAAGAACGTCATTTGGGGATTATGGGTGACGATTCTGGGTGACGATTTTGGGTGACGAGGCTACTGCCTGCATTTTATGCAAGGGCAAGGCGCCTGCATCGGGCGCCACCTTTGACTGAGCGCACCAGCTTTTGACCTGCCCGCATCACCACGAACCTGCAGCACAGGCCTGCCATACATGCCTGCTCCCGGCCGCACTCGGCCGGCCGCTTACTACTCCGTCCCGCTTGCCCCGCCCTGGCTAGCGCTCAAGCAGGCAGCTGAACGCCGGGGCGCTTTCATGATTGATGAGTGCCAGCACCTGCTCCTCTTGTCCCTGCCTTGCACATGCACTAGCACGAACAAGTGATGGGGCCGTGCCACGATCATGTAACACTGTGCAGCAAATAGGGTGACTCAGCGACATGGCAAGAAGCGGTTGGGCAGACGAGCGCCTCCCAGGGCGCTCCGAAAAGGGCGCCACTGCTGCAGGTGGGCTCAGCTGCACAAGTCTGGGATGGATGCCTGGAATGACGTGTGCTGTGCTGTTGTAACTCGTAGACCACAGAGCGCAGCGTAAATCTCTCTGTGGGCCTGACGGCACTGCCAGGTGATGGCGAAATTCGGCCGGCGCCGTCACATGCAGCTGCTCCAGTCGTGAAGAGCCGCAAAATCACAGCAGCAGCGGCAGCGGCAGCAGTCTATCAGATGCATTGGCCAATGGCCATAATGACACAACCCCCCCAAAAAAACTTAGTCATGGGCCCCAGCATGCCGCAACGGCTCTCAGCGCCAGGACGGCACATCAGCAAGCTCAAGTTGACCCGTTCCCATTCGCGCCGTCGCTGCTGCCGCTGCTGCTGCTGCTGTCGCCCGCCTGTGCGCCGGCCTTCTTTCCTAACCACTTGGCCACCACCGGCGTCAGCGCCACGGTGGGAGGGAAGCGCACCGGCGACAGTGCCTTGTGGGCGGCATAAGCGATGGCAAAGGTGCCGACGCGCTCGCTAGTGTCGCTGACGCCGAGCCCGACGCGCCCCAGCAGCGCGGCAACGTCAACGCCTGGGGAGCGGGGGCAGGAAGGGGCGGACGAAGCACGACGGGCCCAAGGGCGGTTGGAACAAGGCATGCAGCTGCGTCAAGGTTTTCGCACGTCGTTATGCATGCAGCAGTCGGATAGCACCGCTCAATCCTCTCAAGCGATCGCCGCGCGCATGCAGCCATGCATAGTCGAACGGCCATATGACATCTGTCGGCCGGCCACGTGTCGAAAGCCCACCTGCGGAGACAGCTGCATAGCAGGCCGCGAAGGACACGACTGCAAAGGATATCGAGGTCACAAGATAGGCGCTGCCGTACTGTGCCAACAGCTGCTTCGCCTGCTCTGTGCGGCTGGGCGCGGCTCCAGTCTCGTCCTTTGTGGTCATCACCTGACATCGGTTGGGACCAGGAGCGGCTGTGTGCCAACAGCTGCTTGCCTCGAGCTCTCCACCCAAACGCCCACTGACCAAGAGCGCTAAGATGATGCATACTAATCTATGGAGCAACGCGGCGAGTGCGACGGACGATTGCGGCTGCCAGCAAAGCACAGCAGCTGAGATTTTATAAAGACGCCTGCAATCTCCTCCCCTGCATCAGCGCGCGCGCTCACCTTCAGTAGTCCTGCCTCAAGCCCATACTTCTCGGTTGTCTCCTCAGCCTCGTTCCTTGTCACCGATGAAGAGCCTGTCGGCTGCTGCGGGGCGCGGGCGCCGGTGCATGGCCGCAACACCTTGTGGTGAGGGACGGTGCTTGCATCGCGGTTGCCACCCAAGCTCATGCAGCACCCAGTCTTGCAGCCGCTAACAATGTGGCGCAGTTCTGCAGCACACACGCCACATGCCCCATCCATGCGCGCCCATGCGCGCACCTCGTGTGCGGCGAACACTACGGTGGTGCGCCTGGCCTGCACGGTCGTGCTGCGCGTGCAGTGGTGGACGGTGGTGCCAGCAACGGCGTAGTGAGCTGGATATGGGCCACGCCGCGCTGCAGCACAGATATGATCATTGCAGCTATGAGCAAGTGCAATGTTTGAAAGCGCTCCGCACCCGAATGGGCTTGGGCGTGGCGCAGAAAGGCCCCGCGTGACGCACTGCCGCCGGCACAGCTGGGTCTGCATATTAACGATTCAGTTTTCAGCCAAAGGCTTGAATGCTGAAAGCAGGTGGCGCTTGTGCTCAAGCTTGCCGGACGGGACCCAGAAAGATCGCGACGGCGTAGTGTAGTATGAAGCAAGCTTATGAATGGGAGATGGCTTGTAAAATTCAGTTCAATCAAAGGGGTTTAGTGAGAAAGCGGTAGGTTTTGCGCTGCGGCCGGCCCCGGAAGTACCGCCGTCACAACACCAATGGCTCCCATGCCCAACTGCTAAGATGCTTTTGCCGTAGTCCCCTGGCATGGCAGAATACCCCGTAAACGTGCACAAGATGGTGGTATTACACAGGTGTAGCCGCCTAGGAAAGCAGCACAGGCAATCCAGAAGCTGCAAGCGGCTGGCAGGATAACCAGGCTTGCAAGCGGACACACAAGGCACAGTGGGCGCGCCGTGAGCGGCAGTCAAGCTGTGGACGCTGGCACGGCAGGCTGAATGTTGCGGCGGGCCGCAGAGTGGACGGCAGCATGGCTGAAACGCATGATGCCGACCAGCCCGGTTGAATTCCTCGGCCGCTCAGGCACGATACGTGAGGATCAGGCGCGGTTTGTGGAGTATTTCCAGGCAGTGATTAAGAATGCCCTCATACAGTCGGCACGTAAAGCCAACGCAAAGCAGGGGGTATGAATAACCTTTTGTCGGAGGTTGCAGGTTCGCACAGGCCAAGAGCCAAGAACCGAGGTGAATATACATACACGCAGGCTACGTGTACATGTACATACACAGGCCGCGGGGGGCCAGGCTAGGGCGGAGCACGCGGTGGCGACGGGCCATCGCTCGCAGTCACCGCCCCGCCGCAATCCTGCAGGTTGCCCCTGCTGCTCCAATAAGGGGACGCCAGGGCCGCGCCCTGGATCAAATCAGCTAGCCAAGGATAAGACAGGTGTTGGTAGGCGTTTGCGGCGAGCAGGTGCAATGAGCCGCCCGCGTCGATCCAACCGGGGCGGCCCTGTTGTGGACCCACACAGTCGGGTCCTCAAGCCTGCTTGAATGCCTGGACACGCAGCATGAAAGTGCACTGTGTGCCGGTCGCAGCGGCTCCGTCTGAACACTGAGTGAAAGCTCGTAAGAATCGTGTGCATGCACGCCATAGAGTGGGGTCGGGCAGCGAGTTGCAGGGGGCGGCCTACCATCAAACGCACAAATCAATGGCGCGCACAAGCCGTGGGTGCTGCCCAGGGGCTTGCACGGCGCGGGGCTTGCTATGACCGCACTTTGGCCCGTCACGGGCCCGACTGAGTGCCGGGCGCCGGTCATCAGTGGGCCCTATACAATAGCCCCGTAGGCAGGGCTTGAACCCCCCCGCTGGGCTCCCCCGAGGCCTCGAACAACCACCACCCTGCACTAGAGGCCCCCGCCCTGGCGAATCCCAGCCAACGCACGCCCCAACCCCCCCACAACGAACAGCGCGGGCCGCGCGGGTCTCGCCGTCCTGCGGGCTTCCAAGGGTCCCGAGCCTCTTGACGCCTCAGGCCGCCGCGGGCGCCGCCTGCTCGTCGCCGCCGGCGCTGGCCTCCTCCTCGGCCGCGCTGCGGGGGAAGCCCAGGTCTGCGGCCTTGGCCCAGCGGTCGACGACGCCGTAGGCGCAGTCCAGCTCGATGCCCAAGTTGAGGTCCTTGCCGCCCTGGTTCTTGCTGGTGGGGCTGTAGTAGAAGCCGCCCTCACCCCAAGGCTCCCCCCTGGGGCGGCGGGTGGGGCGAGGGAGCGTGGGAGCTGCACGTCAGCGCAGCAGCATGGCGAGAAGTTCGGCACCCCAAAGGCCCCTCGCAGCATCCTGGCGAAGGTGGGAGCCACGCTGCGCGCCGCCAGCAATCAACGTTAGAAAATTGATGCGAGAGGCATGCTCAGCAGTGGGCGGCGCGGGGGCGGTGCGTGCCGACCAAGCGCTCTATTTGTGCCGCCACCCACCAGCTGTTGCGGGTGATCCAGACCTCGGTGCCGTCAATCACGTCCCACCCGACCACGCTGATGACGTGGTTGGGGCTCGGGTCAAGCAGGCGCTGGGCAAAGATGCCACCTGCAGGGGGGGAGGCGGAGGGGCACACATCGACGTAGGCAGGCAGCAACAGGCGCAGCAACTTGTAGAGTCGGCCACTGCATTGCATGCCAATGAGAAGCATCAAGCCACGTCAGCTTCAAACAACCACTCGTCTGAACGGTGACCAATAATGTGTAGATATAGGTGCAAGCGGCCCACCCTTGTATGCGTCGAGCTCGTTGGTGGCGTCTATGCTGCATGAGATGGGGCCGCGCTTCATTATCTCGGCCTTCATGGCCACGCGGCCGCTGACAGAGCCGTGCTCACGCACCACCTGGGGTGGGATTGGGGGGCCGGGGGAACAAGTTGGGTGCGTGAAGCAGACTGACAGTGGCCTCAGCCAAGCCAAACGACAGCCCAAAAAAATGCAATCTTGGGGACGACCATAACATTTTAGTCGGTGAAACACAAGGCAAGTGCACCACACGGCGTCAGCAGCGGCGCGGTTTGCTCGTGCGAGCGGGGCGCGCCGCGCACCAGCCTGTTGTAGTCGTACAGGGGCGCGCACTTGCCCGACGGCTCGCATGTGTAGCACTGGTGCTTGCGGTTGCAGGCCTGGTTTTTCGCCACATACTGGTTGCAGGTGTCCATGGGGATGCCATGCTTGAAGGCATACTTGTACACCATCTGTGGTTAATGAAGTAATGAAAAGGGAGGGCAGCCTTGCGGAACAGGCACTGTCAAGGGGGCAGGCGGCAAGCGGGGCAAGTGCACAGTCCTGGAGGGTGCCGCGACCGCGCCGGCTGCTCAAGGCGCCGCGGTGCTGCACCCCCGCACCTTGTCGTCGCCGCCGTTGCAGCTGCCGGCGTTGCCGCAGTCGATGACGGACTGCACGGACAGGACCGCCATGGGCCAGGCGCCGTCGCGGACTATGTTGATGCGGTCCGCGAGGGAAGAGGTGGAGGCGAACGCCCAGCAGGAGCCGCAGTAGACGGGGATGTGCTGGTTGCGTACGGGAGAGAGGTAGTTCTTGCCCTTCACGTTGCGCCTGCGCGCGAATGCGCCGCGAGGAGTCGTCGGCATGCCGGATGCGGCGGCAAGGGGGCGGAGAGCTGTGGTGCTGCGGGGCGGCGCTGCGCTCGGACCCAGCCAAGGCGCCCGCCCTCGCACAATTAGTCCGGCACCGGTCTCACCAGTCCCAGGAGTCCGGCATGTCTTGCTCCTGCAGGCCCTCATGGGGGCTGGGGCCCAGGCTGCAAGCGGGCGCAGCTATGTTGAAAGCAGCGCGTGACCAAGCCGAATGGGGTACAGCACGATCGGCAACCCCACCAGGTTGAAGGCCTAGTGGTCGCAGTCTCCTAACAACCTTTCACAAACAATACAGGTCGCATGCTGCGGCCAATTGAACGGCTCGGGGGATCTCCCAGGGCGGCAGGCTCCCGCCACACCCCGTCCCCTCACCGCAGCTCGACGTGGTGCTGGCCCCTCTGCCCAAGTTTAGTGGCAAATTTGGATGGCCCGCGGCTGCCCTCGATGACGTTCAGGCCGTGCGCCAGACCCATCATCAGGCCCAGCAACACGAGCAACACGAGGGCGCGAGCCATTGTTGAGCGGCAGAGCAGGTCAAGGACACAATGAAGCTAGCGAACCCCCTAGAACACGTGTGACGAACGAGGACGGAGGCCATTAAGGTTGTGAAGGCTGATGACGCGTGTGGACCGGGAAAGCAATGGACGCTTGCTTTCTTCTGAAGAGGCTTCGAGGCCATGCGCTGCATATAAAATCGCTGTGGAATTTGCAAGAGATGCATTACCGCTTCTCAAAAAGCACCAAAGGCTGTTTTGTACCCAGCACCCTCGTCGCTCTCCTCGCAGCCTGCTTGTTTGCCTGCGTGGGCCTCGGCTTTTTTATCTTCAGCACCCGTATCGATCACACAGCGGCACTGAGCCGCTCGTACCAAGAAGCAGAGGCGTCACTGGCATCAACCAGCGCGTCGCTAAGCAGCACGCAGCAAAGCACCGCCCTCCCTCGCAAGACCATGGCGGCCCCCGCGCTCAAGAGTGCCGCGATCAGGTGCGCGCCTGTCCCTCTTTTAGCATTCCTATGGAGGCCCGCACTGAGCCTCGCCACAGCCCTTGCTCCTGACGAGCGGCCAACACGACAATGGCGCCCCGCAGACCTGGGAGAACCAGCATTGATGCGGGGGCGCGCCCCGCCGCCGACTCCTCTCGCTCACCCGTCACCCCAAACCTGCCCTCCCTTGTATCAGGCACGTCCCGGCGTCCAGCCTGCACGTGTCCAAGCCCACGTGGTGGCTGACGTCACGCTTCCACTTCAGCTTTGCGGACTACTTTGACCCGAAGCGCAACAACTTCGGCGCACTCAGGTTGGCGCACCGCCTGGCAGCTGCCGTCTGCAAGCGGAACCCCGCTCGCCTCGCCTCGCGGCCGGGCCCTCAGTCCTCTGCACCGCCGCGCAAGCAGCTGCGCAATCGGAACCGTATGACCGGCCTGCAAATCGGCTGACACCACGTTGAATCGCAAGTTGCTGCATCACTCACTCACGAACGCTTCCCCGCCCCCGCTTGCCTCCCCCTCCGCCCGGCCCCCCTGCCCCAGGGTGGTCAACGATGATCTGGTCAAGGGCAACGCCGGCTTTGGCACCCACCCCCACCGCGACGCCGAGATCTTTAGCTAGTGAGTGCCGTTGATAATTCATCACAGGGGTCACATGTCGTGCGCCGGCGGCAAGACGGCCCGCGCCTTGACAGGCAGCAGCGCGACCCGCCGGGCGAGCAACGGCCGATCGGCCCTGGTAGTAGCAGTCTGCTGTTGCGATGCGCCGAGCACCTCGCGACCTGTGCACTTGCTGACATCCGGCCCCCAACCGTTTGCCCCCCTTCTCCCCTGTTGCGCAGCGTGCTGGATGGCCAGCTCACCCACGCCGACAGCATGGGCAACCGCGAGTCCCTCGGCCGCGGCGGCGTCCAATTCATGTCCGCCGGCACGGGCGTCACCCACTCGGTGAGCCGCGGCGCGGCGCGCGCAGCTGGCGGAGCCGCAAGGGCCTCCTGAACCCAGGGTGCAAGGGCGGGAGCATGACCGTGGATCAGCGGGAGAAGAACGCCGTGCGTATCCACCCCGCTCTGGCTATCCTGGTGATTCTGCAACCATGCATGCATGCACATGTGCGCGCACACAAACACATACACACACACACACACACAGAGAAACACACATGTGCTGTGCCGTGTGCCCATCACTCATCTCATCTTCACCTGTCTCCCCAACTCTGCATCCCTGCAGGAGCTCAACGACCACCCGGAGACCTGCCGCTTTGTGCAGACGTGGATCACACCAGACAGGCGCGGCCACACGCCCCAGTACGGCAGCAGCACCTACACCAAGCAGGAGCGCCACAACACGCTCCTGCGCATCCTGGGCGGCACCGGCGCCGCGCCCGCGTGGCCGGGGCTGGTGACGCGTGATGAGGTGGCGCTGTACCAGGACGCAAATGTCATAGTGTCAGAGAGCGACGCGGGCACGGCGTTCAAGCTGCCCCTCGCGCCGGCGAGGCAGGGTGAGCGGGGGCGGGGCGGGGCCGCGTCGTAGGCTCAGGCGGGGCCGCCTGAGCAGCGCCGTACGCTTATTGGTCTGCGGGGCACGGCGTGTCTTTGTGCATCTTGCCCTGCTGTGGATTTGCTTTGCCACCATAACGTGGCCGCCCGGCCCACCTTACCCCACCCCACCTC